ACAGAGTCCTAGATACACTTGCGGTGGGCACATATTTTTTGGTGTCATTATCGGGAGGCATATAATTCTCGATCTCTTTTTATTTTTTATAAGGAAAAGTTAGTTTTTTCTTAGAATATATATTTTTTTGATACATGCAATGTTCAGAAAAAGGAGAATCGAACCTGGAATCTCATATACATAAGTAAATATTCTTAATAACTGGACCTACAAACTCCTGTAATTTTTTCTTATAGTTTTATAAATAAATTCTCTTAACTTTTTGGTCATAGCCCTTGTGGGTACGCTCTTCATCCCTCGGAGGCAAAGCACTAAATGTGCTATAAGGTAAGGGTCCTATCATTTATTAAGAAAAACAGACTTATGAAAACTACACTTACTATGTTTATTTGAGTAGGTTTATCCCTATTATAGTTATAGTAGTTGAGGGGAAATCCAGCTGTGTATATGCGCAATAATATAATTTGCAATATAATAAACAATTTTCTGGTATGACAATATTTTACTGCTGGCAATGGAGAGCTAACCGTAAACATGAAGATCATAAGTCTTCATTACTTTGTTTTAGGATTTAGTTTATATAATACGAAAAGCATATTCTACGGATACGCTTGTTTTCAAAACTACTTGTACTTTTTCTGATTCAATTGAAAATACACACAAATACGAACCGTACGTTAGCGAAAAAACAAACGTATGTACACACTTCGTGCATATACTTTTATAAGTCCTTAATTTATATACTATGTACCATCCTTTATAATTACAAGATAATATTGAGTTATGCCTGTTTAACGATCGATCCCTACGTAAATGTTATGGTTTTAATTAGGTTTTTGAGTAGATAAAGATTGATTCTGTCTTTGCAAATTATCGTTTTTGTCTTAATTGTTTCTTCTGGAACTTTCAATGGAGAAACTTAAATTCATGGTGAGCTTTAAATGTTTGTCATATGTTTAGCATAGACAAAAGAAAAAAATACAGAAAGAAATATGTGTCACCTCTGTTGAAAAGTGAAGCACCAAACTCTGTCACAAATGTTTTCAGATCGGCCAGGACAATTTACTTGGTTGGTTTGTGTTTGTTTGATTAGGTTGAAGTTTTAATGTGTCCTAAGTTCATGTGTTCTGTTTGGTTTATGTCTCAATCAAATTTCTGTAGATGCAATTTCTGGTTAAAGTCCAACAAACCTCGTTGCACTTTATCTGGAGATTAGTGGTATCAGGTTCAAACCATAATGACACGTCCTCCTACCCCTCTAAAATTTAACTAAAATAAAACAAAATAAATGAAAACAACGCCATCTGATGTGCAAATAAAAAATTATCATATCAGTTAGTCGAATATGTTGGCATCCACATCTAACAAAATTCAAAACCAATTAGATGATAAGATATTCTCTCATCACGTCCAATTGGTTGGAAAAACGTTCAAGGTCATTTCCCAAAAAATTAAATCAAGACCCTACGCATTCTAATCTTCGACCTTCAAATTTAAATAAATAAAATCGAACCAACTCAAGCCGACCTATTGAATCAAGAACATGATCACGTTCACGTTGGACAAAGACTAGTCAGCTATAAGAACAAGTAACACCATGATCATGAGGTATTGCAAGAAGTATTGATAAGAACATCTTCGTGTATGGCACAAAAACTTTCAGTCTTGCCTATTATTTAAGGATGGCCTACCTAAAAGCACCAAAAAATAAAAGCTACTATCCACACACAAAAAAGAAACATAAAAATTTGTAAGTTATGCTGAATTTCGAATGAAATGTTTACTAACATGTCAAAAAGGGTTTGAGGATTTAAGTGCTCTAGAATTATTGATCCAATTATCCATATTTAACCCTCTAATCTAATAACAGCTAAACTAATTTTAACAGACAGAAGTAACAATTTTCACCAACCTTTTGAGGCCAAAATCTTTGAGGGCCGAAGTGATTGCTTCTTCTGTTAATCCCTCTGCTCGAAGCTCTCTGTGTTTTTCCTGGACCTGCCTGATTTCATTGTCGATGTCAAGTCCTGAGGTCCCATTAAGCGTCTCACCCATGTGGTAGGGGTTTTCCAATAAAAGCCCGTCCTTCTCGCCACAAACATAAGCTGAAATCACAACATGGAAATAAATCTACAATAAATTTCATTGTATTTTTTTAAAAAAAACCCTGTTGTGTTCCCGTATTTACAGAAAGGACATACTATAATTAAGGTAAGTGAGCAGGACGTTCAGTGATTAGATCAAATTAAGACTAAAACATGAAAGCCCGTCCTTCTCGCCACAAACATAAGCTGAAATCACAACATGGAAATAAATCTACAATAAATTTCATTGTATTTTTTTTAAAAAAACCCTGTTGTGTTCCCGTATTTACAGAAAGGACATACTATAATTAAGGTAAGTGAGCAGGACGTTCAGTGATTAGACAAATTAAGACTAAAACATGGAAGAATAAAATAAAATCAAAGTGATTTATATAGAGAGAGATAATGACCTGTGGATACGTGGACCAGCACCTTTAATTTAACACATTGCTTAGCAAAGTTCAAAACATGCTTTGCTCCCAAAGTGTTGATACCAAGTGCAACATCATATCTGCAGAATATATGTTCTATTTTAGTCTATTTCTGATATATATTATTTCCCATAACATATTTCGCAATGTTCTTCTTGCCATACAGATATTTATTCAATCTGTGAATCTAAACCACACGTTTAGACAAAAATTGAACTCGTCTAAAGGGCACCGAATCGCATTCGGAGAAGAGTAGTTGCTCTTTATTTCAAATTCAGAAAACTGAGATTTAACAATCAATTACTACCTTTCATCAAAGTTGGTACTTGCAGCTAAGTTCACAATGACATCTATCTGGCTCAACATCTCTTCCCTCAAGTTTGAATCTTTCAAGCCCAAGTCTTCAAAAGAAATGTCTCCAGGCACCAGTGTCAGCTTTTCTGAGACAATGGAGTTCATACCTGCTCCCCATTTTTCCCTCAACACTCTAAAAAGGTCCTTCCCAATTATCTATAATTACAAGTAACAAAAAGTGAACAAACTTGGAATAACAAAATCTTGATTTCCATTGCACTTCAAATTCATATTCCTTAATTACTTCTTTTCGTGTAGTTTTAAGGTGGGCATAAATGGCTAAATGTTGTGCCACTCTTGCCTATTTGGTATATGGAAAAAAGATATATAAATGTTGAAGCTCACACTTATCCCTACATATATACCTCATTATGCAAACGCTGTGTGGCTGATTTTGTATCTGCAGCTCTTAATAGAAGATAGAGCTTCTTCACATTTGGTTGAACCCTCAGTATCTTCTCCACAAAAACTGCATCCATTCAAGCACATACATAGCTGACACTTACTACAACAACAACAACAAAAAATAAAGAAAGAAAAAACACCAGAGAGAGAGAGAGAGGGTTTAATTTGAGTAGTACTCTTTGCTAGAAAGCCAGTGGCACCAGTGACCAAAATGTTCTTGTTCTGAATGAACTGGAGTATGCTTTCCAACTCCATTGGAGAAAACTTAAATAATATCAGAGAGAAGGAAGGAAAGGAACAAAGAACTAAAGAGAGGATGAACAATGGAAAAGTGTATATGCTCTCAGCTAGCTGATCAGCTGAAGCCTAGTGAGGCAATGGTCTGGGCACATTGTAGTATATACCGCAACATATGGGGCAACTATGAGGTAGAGTGCACTCAAGTAGTTGACAGTTGTTTTGCTTGGTAGACTCATTTAAACCGAGGGTTAATTGCTTGAATTATTTTATTTTTCTACAAAATTAAAAACAAACACCAAAAATCCCACATCACCTTTTATTTTTTCTTGTTTTTTTTTTTTTTTTTTGCCCCCTCCAATTATAGCTACATACATACATACGTACACTTCCCATTATTTGGTGAACTTTGCTTACTAAATTGAAAGGGAGGATCATCTACTAAACTACTAACTCAATAAAAAAGGAAAATTGTGGGTCACATATTGGGATTAGCAACAGTTCTGGTGTTACAGTAAGATACATCCAATACTCCAACCTACCCTCTTCTGCAAATATTAAAGCTTCGGTGCTAGATTTGTCCTCGTCGCTATGACATACGCGCCTATCTAACATTTTTTATTGTTTTGTTTGTTAGATCACTAATTAAAGACTCACGAGGCCGGAGCTTGAAGACTTGAGTACTGGTTGTAGGACCATATACCAACCCAACTGTCCCGCTCGGACGTCTAATATATAGATGACACTTGTTATATCAACTATTGGTTTATAAACTTTATATAATGAAAATGCTAGCTTTACTATATTTTTATATCAAGAGTCATTTTATAGTTAGGGCTTTATCTATGACCTTTGTTGGCGTGACTTATGGACAATTGACTTTCTTTCCTTACACACCAAGGATTCCTATTATAATTATATTTGATTTACTTTAATTCCTGATTTCCTACTGTAAATAGAAATAGAAATTTATTATTTTCTTGCCCATTCAAGTTTCGTTGTATTATAAATATGACTTCCTACAAGGAGAAGAATACACAGAAAATTCCCACAAACAAATATTCTCTCATAGTTCTCATATTTTAGCATGGTATCAGAGCGGCGATCTTGGAATTGCTGACTCTAGTTTCTAACCCCTGCCGCCGATATGGGGGTTGATGATTTTTTTTCAACTCTCATGGAGATAGAACCACTGACTTCTTCTCTCATTCTCAACCAACCATAGTCGAGTTGAGTGCCCAGATGGCTCAACTCCTACAAATTCAGACTTTGACCCCGAATCCGATCCTGAATCAGGATCCTATTTTGATGACCCCAAACCCGATCCTGAATCAGGATCCTATTTTGACGACCCTGACCCCGACTCCGATGATAACCCCAACCCCGGATTTGTCTCAAATTAAGACCCAGATCCTGACTTCGACTCCGACTCCAGCCCCGACTCAAGCTCATATCCTGATCCGAATTCCTACTAAACATGTATCCTATGCATCTTCCACTACACAGATTGTGACTTCCCGACTAATGACCTCGACACATGGACGAGATTGTGCATATTGTGGTGATCCGAGACACACTCGTGAGACTTGTTTTAAATTGCATGGTTACCCCGACTGGTAGGCTACTCTTAAAGATCGAACACAACGCGATACGACCAGTAATGGTACTGGTTATGGATTCCATACTTCCGATAAGATTGATTCTAGGAGCTGGATAATTGATTCCGGTGCAACTGATCATATGACGTTTGATCCTGATGATTTTCTGAATACTACGCAACCTCGACGAACTTGTATCGCTAATGCCAATGGAGTTACTTATCCTGTGATTAGGGCTGGCACTGTTGCACTCTCATCCTCTCTCTCACTGTCTAATACTTTATTTGTTCCATCTTTATCTAATAAATTGTTGTCAGTTAGTCAGTTTACTGAACAATTGAATTGTTGTGTACTCATTTACCCGAGTTTCTGTTTGCTTCAAGATATTCACACTAAGGAAATTCTTGGTCGTGGTACTCAGAGAGGGGGGCTATATTATGTAGATGACTTCAGTCCCGGCATGGCTAACAGTGTGACGCATCCCTTTGATAGCAAACAAAAGCAAATCTGGTTGTGGCACCGTCGATTGGGACATCCGTCTTTTAGTTATATGAAGCATTTTATACCATATTTATTATCAGGTTTCAAGGACTCCGACTTCACATGTGATACTTGTATTTTCACCAAGAGTCACCGTGTGCCCTATCCGTTGAGTACGAACAAGTGTACTACTTTGTTTACGTTAATCCACTCTTATGTCTGGGGACCTTCACCTATCACTGCTCCTTCTGGTGTTCGGTGGTTTGTCACATTCATTGATAATTGTACACGGATGGCATGGCTTTATTTGCTGAAGAATAAAAATGATGTGTTTTCCTGTTTTCAGTCCTTCCACAAACAGATGAACACTCAGTTTAATGCTCAAATTTAGATTCTTTGCTCAGACGATGGTGGAGAATTTGTCAATCATGACTTTCAGACTTACTTCCAACAACATGGAATTATCCATGAGACGACTTGTCCTTGAACACCGCAACAAAATGGTGTTGCTGAACGAAAGAATCGACATCTTCTTGAAACCGCCCGAGCACTTCTGTTTGGCTCTCATGTTCCTCGCCATCATTAGGATGATGCTATTGTCACCGCAGTTCACCTAATCAACTGCATGCCTTCTGGTGTCATGACCTTTAAAACTCCCTTATAAGTGCTTGCGCAACACAGACCTCTACCCTTTGTTTTGGTACTTACACCCCGAATCTTTGGATGTGTGGCTTTCATTCATCTCCACAATAGTCAACGTAGCAAACTTGATCCCTGTGTGCTTTGTTGTGTTTTTGTGGGATATGCCACTCATCAGAAAGGTTGCCGCTATTATCACCCTCCTACCCAACGTACCTATGTCACTTTGGATGTGACCTTTCTGGAATTTGAGCTGTTCTTCCATGACCCATCATCCAATTCTACGCTTCAAGGGAAGATACGAAGTGAAGAGCATAATTGGAGCAACTTGGAAAACGAAGAAATTCTCCTCTATATAGAAATAATCGATCATCCCGAGTCTGGAGCACGAGATTACTCTCTGCCGAAAAGCGATCAATCGCCCATTCATAGTGATCAATCGCCTGACCCACCTGATCCCTGCGAAGATATTTTTGATCCAAGTCCTACACCTACAGACCATACAGAACAACAAGATGAAGACCCCCGTCTAACTCAACAGTACCAACAGACTAATCTCCTGAGAATATCCTTGAGGTAACTATTCCTACTACACTTGTGAATTTATAGGATAAATCTATTGGATACCACTTACCTTTCAGGCAGAATCGTGGAAAGCCACCAAATCGTTATTCACCTGATATTGGCAAGACTTCAAAGTATCCAATTGTGAATCATGTATCCACTGAGAAGCTGTCTGGACCACTTAAGGCATTTGTGCATCAGTTGTCTGCTATTCATATCCCAATCAAGGTTGCTAAAGCATTTAAAGATCCTAAGTGGGTTCAAGCTATAAAGGAAGAGATGAAATCTCTTGAAAAGAATCAAACTTGGACACTGAAAACTTTATCACGAGGAAAAAAGACTGTCGGATGTAGATGGGTGTTTATCATAAAACAAAACGATGATGGATCTATCGAGCGATACAAGGCAAGAGTTGTGGCGAAAGGGTACACATAGACTTATGGCGTAGATTATGAAGAAACCTTTGCCCCAGTTGCAAAATTGAACACAGTCATAGTCTTATTGTCCCTCGCAGCTAATTTGGACTGGCCACTACACCAATTTGATGTAAAGAATGCTTTCCTACATAGAGAACTCATGGAGGAGGTGTATATGGACATTCCTCCTGAATATAATACTACTCATACTGGAACAATATGCAAATTACGAAAGGCGTTGTATAGACTGCAACAGTCACCACGTGCATGGTTTGGACGGTTTACCATGACAATGAAGAACAATGGTTTCAGACAGAGTAACTCAGATCATACTTTGTTTTTGAAATGTCAAAAAGGGAAGGTAACAGCTCTAATAATCTATGTTGACGACATGATTATTACTGAGAATGATAAACATGAAATATCTCATATACAAGATTATTTGGCTACTGAATTTGATATGAAGAATCTAGGTGGATTCAAATATTTCTTGAGGATTGAGGTGGCCCGATCACAACGAGGCATATTTCTCTCTCAAAGAAAATATGTCTTGGACTTATTAACAGACACAGGAATGCTAGATTGCAAACCTGTAGACACTCCAATTGTTCAAAATCATCATCTTGGATAATACCTGGATCAAGTTCCAACTAACAAAGAAAGATACCAAAGGTTAGTTGGAAAATTGATCTACTTGTCTCATACTAGGCCAGACATTGCTTATGCGGTGAGCGTTGTCAGTCAATTTATGCATTCTCCGAGTGAAGACCACATGAATGCAGTTATTCGAATACTTAGATATTTGAAGTCTGAACCCGGAAAAGGACTTATGTTCTCAAAACATGGTCATCTGAATATTGATGGTTACACATATGCAGATTGGTCAGGAAATATAATAGATAGGAAATCCACATCCAATTACTTCACATTCATGGGAGGTAATTTGGTTACATGGAGAAGCAAGAAACAGAAGGTGGTCGCCTTATCCAGTGCAGAAGCCAAGTTCAGAGGTATGACCAAAGGAATTTGTGAACTCATTTGGTTAAAGAGGTTGCTTACTGAACTTGTCTGTTTTGTGACAACAAGGCTGCAATAGCTATTGCATAGAATCCAGTTCAACATGATCGCACCAAACATGTTGAGGTAGATCGACACTATATCAAACATAAGCTCGAAGCTAAAATGATTCAGTTTCCTTTTGTAAAGTCTAAGGATCAATTGGCGGATATGTTGACAAAAGCAATTTCTAGTAAAACATTCCACAATTCACTGGACCAGTTGGGCATTGGCGACATCTATGCACCAACGTGGGGGGGAGTGTTGGCGTGACTTGTGGACCATTGACTTTCTTTCCTTACACACCAAGGATTCCTATTATAATTATATTTGATTTACTTTAGTTCATGATTTCCTACTGTAAATAGAAATAGGAATTTATTATTTACTTGCCCATTCAGGTTTCGTTGTATTAT